TGAACATTAAGAGACAGAATAACAACAACAAAAATCCAGAAAAACGCATGTCAAAAATGTTATAAATTGATTTGCATTTTAATGAGGGAAATAAGTATTTGACCCCTCTGCAAAACATGACTTAGTACTTGGTGGCAAAATCCTTGTTGGCAATCACAGAGGTCAGACGTTTCTTGTAGTTGGCCACCAGGTTTGCACACATCTCAGGAGGGATTTTGTCCCACTCCTCTTTGCAGATCTTCTCCAAGTCATTAAAGTTTCGAGGCTGACGTTTGGCAACTCGAACCTTCAGCTCCCTCCACAGATGTTCTATGTGATTAAGGTCTGGAGACTGGCTAGGCCACTCCAGGACCTTAATGCGCTTCTTCTTGAGCCACTCCTTTGTTGCCTTGGCCGTGTGTTTTGGGTCATTGTCAAGCTGGAATACCCATCCACGACCCATTTTCAATGCCCTGGCTGAGGGAAGGAGGTTCTTACCCAAGGTTTGACGGTACATGGCCCCGTCCATTGTCCCTTTGATGCGGTGAAGTTGTCCTGTCTCCTTAGCAGAAAAACACCCCCAAAGCATAATGTTTCCACCTCCATGTTTGACGGTGGGAATGGTGTTCTTGGGGTCATAGGCAGCATTCCTCCTCCTCCAAACACGGCGAGTTGAGTTGATGCCAAAGAGCTCCATTTTGGTCTCATCTGACCACAACACTTTCACCCAGTTCTCCTCTGAATCATTCAGATGTTCATTGGCAAACTTCAGACGGGCCTGTATATGTGCTTTCTTGAGCAGGGGGACCTTGCGGGCGCTGCAGGATTTCAGTCCTTCACGGCGTAGTGTGTTACCAATTGTTTTCTTGGTGACTATGATCCCAGCTGCCTTGAGATCATTGACAAGATCCTCCCATGTAGTTCTGGGCTGATTCCTCACCGTTCTCATGATCATTGCAACTCCACGAGTTGAGATCTTACATGGAGCCCCAGGCCGAGGGAGATTGACAGTTCTTTTGTGTTTCTTCCATTTGCGAATAATCGCACCAACTGTTGTCACCTTCTCACCAAGCTGCTTGGCGATGGTCTTGTAGCCCATTCCAGTCTATAATCTTGTCCCTGACATCCTTGGAGAGCTCTTTGGTCTTGGCCATGGTGGAGAGTTTGGAATCTGATTGATTGATTGCTTCTGTGGACAGGTGTCTTTTATACAGGTAACAAACTGAAATTAGGAGCACTCCCTTTAAGATTGTGCTCCTAATCTCAGCTCGTTACCTGTATAAAAGACACCTGGGAGCCAGAAATCTTTCTGATTGAGAGGGGGTCAAATACTTATTTCCCTCATTAAAATGCAAATCAATTTCTAACATTTTTGACATGCATTTTTTTGAATTTTTTGGTTGTTATTCTGTCTCTCACTGTTCAAATAAACCTATCATTACAATTATAGACTGATCATTTCTTTGTCAGTGGGCAAACGTACAAAATCAGCAGGGGATCAAATACTTTGTTCCCTCACTGTATATATATATATATATATATATATATATATATATATATATATACATATATATATATACTTAATCGACAAAACAATAAGAACACCTTCCTAATATTGAGTTTTCCATGATATAGACTGACCAGGTGAATCCAGGTGAAGGCTATGATCCCTTATTGATGTCACTTGTTAAATCAACTTCAATCAGTGTATCAGTCCACTAAATCCAAGCAGTTTTATCAGTCTACTCTGGCCTACTTGGAGTACACAGTGAGCGCGTGCGCAATTTACAATGGATGCACATGCTGCGTTAGCGCTGCTACAAGATCTGAATGAAAACGACTCAGATGGCGGGGAGAAATGAATCATGACATCTCTGAGGATTATTCTTCTGATTCTGAGTCTCAGCCTGAATAACCTGCACCGCTGAGGCCTTAGTGCAAAAAAACTGAACGGTGCGCACCTTGCAGGTGACCGCGCCACCACCAAATGAAACAGTGAGACAAGAGAGAAGAAGGGACGGCACCGTTTCGATAGAACAAGCCGGTGACAATGCTAGAGCCGATTATCAGCACAAAATGTCATCACTGACAGAGCAGGCCCTACATCTCAAGCAATAAACAACATCAGCAATGCACTTACCAGCTTTCGTTGTTTATCTGACATTTTTGCAAATTTATTGAAAATGAAATACAGAAATTCCTAATTTATATAATTATTCACAACCCTGAGTCAATACATGTTAGAATCACCTTTGGCAGCGATTACAGCTGTGAGTCTTTCTGGGTAAGTCTCTAAGAGCTTTGCACACCTGTATTGTACAATATTTGCACATTTATTATCATTTGTAATTCTTCCAGCTCTGTCAAGTTGGTTGTTGATCATTGCTAGACAGCCATTTTCAAGTCTAGCCATAGATTTTCAAGCCAATTTAAGTCAAAACTTTAACTCAGCCACTCAGCAACATTCAATGTCGTATTGGCAATCAACTCCAGTGTATATTTGGCCTTGTGTTTTAGGTTATTGTCCTGCTGAAAGGAGAATTCATCTCCCAGTGTCTGGTGGAAAGCAGACTGAACCAGGTTTTCCTCTAGGATTTAGCCTGTGCTTAGCTCCATTCCATTTCTTTAATATCCTGAAAAACTTCCCAGTCCTTAACGTTTACAAGCATACCCATAACATTATGCAGCCACTACTTGAAAATATGGAGAGTGCTCCTCAGTAAGGTGTTGTATTGGATTTGCCCCAAACATAACACTTCATATTCAGGACAAAATATGAATTGCTTTGCCAAATTTTTGCAGTATTACTTTAGTGCCTTGTTGCAAACAGGATAAATGTTTTGGAATATTTTTATACCGTACAGGCTTCCTTCTTTTCACTCTGTCCATTAGGTTAGTATTGTGGAGTAACTACAATATTGATCCATCCTCAGTTTTGTCCTATCACAGCCATTCAACTCTGTAACTGTTTTAAAGTCACCTCCGACATCTGAAATTCACTGCTCGACTGAGGGACCCACCTTACAGATAATTGTATGTGTGGGGTACAGAGATGAGGTAGTCATTACACAATCATGTTAAACACTATTCTTGCACAGTGAATCCATGCAACTTATTATGTGACTTGTTAAGCACATTTTTACTCCTGAATTTATTTAGGCTTGCCATAAGTGGTTGAATACTTATTGACTTATTGACAGTATGAATAAAAAAATATGCACTCACTAACTGTAAGTCGCTCTGGATAAGAGTGTCTGCTAAATTACTAAAATGTGAAAATGTGACTCAAGACATTTCAGCTTTTCATTTTTCATGAATACAAAAACATAAAAAAATACTCAAATAATTTTTGGGACCTCACTAAAACTCAGACCCTGGCTACGGCCCTGAATGCTTCTCAGGGCACAGTCACTGAAAACTCATTGTCATTCTTAAAGGCTGAAACACTGACACACAAACATACACATGCACACACATCCACAGTTACGCACACCCACACACGCAAACACACACAAACAAACAGACAGAGAGGCCCTGAGTTGTGTACCGGCTCTCTAATAAAATGTTGTCAAGGCGTTGTGGGGGTAATTTATCAGGCGGGGTAAGCCTGCCATCAGTGTCTTTGACTCCGGAATTTATTAGCAAAAGATTCCCCCCATAGACACCAGTGGCAGGTAGTAAGATACATACCCACACCACAGAGCCCACACTGCCTATTATGGTTTGATCAGGCCCATTTTGGGGATTTCCACACATAGGGGAAAACATTAGCAGGGTCTGTAGAAAATAATTGACCTTTTATAAACACATTTCATGCAATTCTACATAATTCACATGATATCATTGTTTTCATACCACACACATGGCCAAATGCAGGCTACTGTGCAACTTGCTATTCAGGTAGAATGCAATTTTGGAACTGTATTTATATTTTTGTATTTATAATCATATTTGTATTATTATTATTATTATTATTATTATTATTATTATTATTATTATTATTATTATTATTATTATTGTATATCATTTTGTGTGTGTGTGTGTGTGTGTGTGTGTGTGTGTGTGTGTGTGTGTGTGTGCCAATTTGTAAGTCGCTCTGGATAAGAGCGTCTGCTAAATGACGTAAATGTAAATGTAAATGTGTGCGTGTGTGTACGGGTATGTGCTGGTTTATGGGTGTGCATGTGTGTGTCAACAGTAGTGTTGTCAGAGTAACTAAATCAGGTGGCATTAATTGGATGATAATACTGAAGAAAACTGAAAGCAGTAGTAGCCAATCATATATTGATGACCAAGAAGGTCAATTGTTGTCAGAAAAGACACACGGAGACCAATCCGAGTCATTCACAGAAACAGGTGTGGTGCTGGCATTCTTACATGAAAAACTGCTCATTATTTTCAAATGATCTACATATACAAATAATATATGAATCTACATTATTAAAATGTATAGAGGAAACCGAACAACTTTAGAAGTAGAGAGATAGCATCTCTTCTGCAACAGGTTTGACACCTGATGATGCGAGATAATAATCTCACTGTCCTTTCTTCCCTCATCCTCTACAGAGACTGAGTAGAAAACTTTTTCAGATATAGCCTATAAATACAATCCTTCCCAAATGGAGACATACTAGTTGCCTAATGGTTGCACCGAAACACCGGTTGAAAGTGTATACCTACTTTATCAGCCGCAGGTAGCTGGGCTATATTAGACAGAAAATGCATATGACATTTTCATAAGTGGACGGAATATCGCAGGATATAATGAAAGGCCGTTGCCAACCGGTTCCATAAAAGTATGCGAGGAAAGTTTTTTTTTTGAAAGGCGCAACCTCTCCGAGGGGAATATTGACCTTTTAGGTTACACAGCAATGGATTTTCGTTGTTCGTTCTGGTCATGTGCAAGGCTTTGTTATATGCACTATGCAGTTCAGTATGAGCTTCATAGCCGCCGGGCCGATTCGAGCTATTCGTGGTGACAGCTCCGTCTAGAGAATCACGCACAGCTCGTCTGTTGCCTGTCATCTATCTGAGATTGCATGTAAATCAGGGGTAAATGTATTTTTTCTCTCTCTCTCCCTCCTGCCTTTTAGTCACCAACAAACAGACCCCTATATTGTCCATCGTAAGAACCATGGGATTGGCCACCACATATTCAACATGCGTTTTTTCTCCTTCTGTTCTACGTTGAGCTATGCACGATCGGAAAGACAGTGTAAATAGTAACACCGTAATGGTTTATCTCATGAGTGTAGTGAATTATTGATATTAAATCTATGTTATTGGACATATTTGTTTGCCTACTTCCCAGTGAGGGGTTCCCCAAATGAATGATGTGTGGAAACAGGTTGACGTTACTGCACAATACGTTACCCACACCTGGCACCTCACACACATGGTACACACAACTTCTCACACCTTGTCTCCGTAGTCTCCTCTTCTTCAGGCCGAAGATACGCACTTTGGAGAAGATGTCGACCAGGTTGCCATTGCAGAGCCCCTTGTTCTTAATGGGGCTCTTCCTCCGTCTGTTCTGGGGTGGTCGGTCTACATGCTGCTCCCGTGCCTCCCTCTTCTTCCGGATCAGACCGCTGGCGATAGCGGCTGCCATGGCTCAATGTCTCACTGCTGCTCAGGTCCGGTCCGCACTCCGTCCGCACACGGAGCGCAGACCACATAAACAACCGCCTCTAGTCGCTCGCAGCTCAAGTCACAGTCCCATGGTGGCGGCTAGATGGTCCGGTCCGTGGTGTTGAATCAGGTAGGTATTTCAATACTTCTTCTTGATAACTGCTTTTATTGTCCCGACATTACATTTTAGTGCTTAGGAAACATTTCGTTATCATTAATTGTACGATTCGTGAGCATCATGAAAACGTTGTCATACAATTATTTAATTACATATTTTCATCAGGAGTTGAAGAAATTGCTTGGCAAAAACTCACCCCGAACGAGATAGCTCAAAAGTCATTTATGCGTATTGATTTTCGGTTCATTGGGTGACACTTCCATCTCCTCCTAAATGTCTAGTGTCTGTTATAGCCTCCCCTTCCCACGCTCCTTTTGTCTTCTTTCCCTCCTCTCCTCTTGGAGACCGGATTCAGAACTCAGCACCCTGGACAGCGGCAGCCACGCAGTGTTGAGTGTCTGTGTCGACAGCCCGTCCAAACAAACGAAAGCACTTTTCTGGGTGATTATCACTGTCGGACGACCGGCACTCACTCACTAGAGTACAGCACAGGAGAACACGACATTTACGAAGACAAGTTGAACATGTAATAGCCTAGGCAACACTGCTCCTGAAATGGCCATTCATCTTGGAGAGTCAAATATTAGACAGTAAATGTCAGTAAGATAAATAGGCTACAACACCAAAAAGTAAGCTAAAAATCAAACGTGTCTAAATCTATTGAATTGCAATATAGGCTACCTATCTGACTGCATGGCATGCGTTTTCACAACGTCTTCTCCTTGTATATTCCATTTTCCCTTCACAGCTGGACTGTCATTGTAGATTGGTGTTGTGGTAGAGAAACAAACACAACATGGATGATTGTACACCGATTGGAGATAGGGAGAAAAAAATGTAATCAAAGCTGACCCTTGTCCTGTGCGGATGACGTCTGCACGGTGTGACAACTACATGCACATAGATCAATTTAAGACTTTGCCCAAAGCGGAGGAGGCAATACGGATGTCCGGATTTGAATATTAAACCCATAATTCCTTGAAAAGACAGCAATCAGGTGTGTAATCAAAAAGACAGGATAGGAGATGCGGCTGCATAGGCTATAGGCAACATTGTACACGCACACCTTTCCCGCGCAAAAGCGCATTTTCCATCAATCCCCGCGCTGCAAGAAAAACTATGAGCGGTGAAGAGACTCGCTTCCGTCTATAGATCGACAATCTTCGACATCAACAAGTCTTAACCGCTCCTTTGCACTCGCCTCAAAGAGGACAGAGCAGAATACCCTCCCTCCCTCCCTCCCTCTCATTCGACCATTCGAGCCCAATACATCGCTTTAGGCGGAATGAACCGGGGTCTGTCCGGCTGTTGCCATGAGCCGGTAGTAAGATTCGACACTTCAAGGCGGCTTCAGCTTGCAATAACTGAAGCCCCCGCTCGGAACTGGCAACTCTGGCAACTGAATTGCGATGGGCATTTCATAGGCTAGTTACATCTCTGGCTGAGAATACATCTATTTGTATATGGTTTAAGGTGTAGGCTATGTGACCGTTCACCATAGCATCTATCCATGTATATTGCCCGGTAGCCTAAGCATGACCCAGGTCAGGGGTGAGTAAACGGTGCATCAAAATGTAGGCTACTGAACTCATCGCAAATCTAATTAAATCATTTTACGACAGAAAAGTGTGTGGTCTGAAGGAATAGCCTAACTGCAAAAACAAATGCTAATAAAATATGTAACTCAAGTAGGCTAATTTGCGTGATGATAGGATATGGGAATGATCAGTATTGCCATTTTATCTCATACAATAATATCACTGCATACGTACGTGACTAATGGCAGATCATGAAACCGGGAGGTCAAGAATGATTCTTTTAAGTTAAGCTTTTCTGTCTTTTCTCAAGGCCCCTGTTGCCTGCGATCTCCGTCAGTCTCTCACTCACTTTCGGGCTCATTAATTTCAGCACCATGTCTTCAGCACCATCTCTCTCGCTCTCTCTCTCTCTCACACATACACACACACACACACACACACACACACACACACCCACCCACCCACCCACCCACCCACCCACCCACCCACACACACACACACACACACACACACACACACACACACACACACACACACACACACACACTGGGTGCACATTCCTCATTGCTGGATAAACGGTGGAGAAAACCGTTAACAAAAAACATAGACACATTCATATTCATATTCAGAAGACTCTTCCGAAAAATGATTTGCCATGTGAAATATTTGATGTCCACTTTTCTCGTTTAGCATCTCTCAACATGCTGGATTGGTGGTGCCAATACTATAAAACACAAAACATTAAATGTTTTCTCCCTTATGATTTCCAGAGACAACATTCACATACACATAATTAAAAAACTCAAGAGAGCCATCTGCCGTTTGTCGCTGCTATTAAACAACTGGGAACATTTGGGGACAGTGGCATCGCTGTAGGCTACGCTCCCTTTCCACACACGATCATAGCCTCCACTTGTTGATGTCATGTCAAGGCATACCGGGCTGAGTTGCATTGCCAAACGCCGGGGGGTGTAAGACCATCTCACCTTATTAAATCAAATGTATGTGCCATGCTGGTTGAGCAGCGTTTCCCCCCGGCTACAGTAGGCCAACCCTTGTGACCAGCCTATAGGCGTGCCTGTCTTCGCATGTAAATGCTTCGCGGAAATATTGCGTTAATTGACAGTGCAGTGCAGTTTGCGTTTCAGCCAGCAGCGGACACTGTCAGCCCAACAATGACTCTACACGTAGGTACAGTGCACCATCAGCACAGTGCAAGGACTGTATGAAATTATAGTCTGGCTATAATGTATTACATAATATCACTGAAAGTGAATGCAATTTGATCCAATGGTTACTATAACATTAATTAATGTTCAATTTGAACATTGACAGGAGTATGTTTTCCATATAGAGACAATCTTTAAAAAACATATTGCACAATTAATTACTTACTGCTGTATGGGGCATAACATGAGAGGCTCATGTACAGTAATAATGAGCTTTTCTGTAAATTACCCAAATATTCTAATCTTTACCTAATGCCATTGCAGGGCAACATGCACAGTCTAGATAAACGATCAAATTGCAAATGATCTTTGCTGAGTTGTTTTTTTTCCACAGTCAATAAATGGACATCATTTTAAATCAGTGTGTATCTCATCCCCTAAGCGAGGAGAATTACACGTCCCCAGCTACTTGCAGAAAGAAACACATTCATTTGGAAATATTACAGTAGCATGTTCAAGGAGTGGCAATACATCTCTATAAAAACTAATTTATAGAGCATATAAATATTACCATGAGTATGGAGCTACAGTTTGCTGTGTCCTCATCGGCAACCTGGATTTAGACTGCTGCGTTACAATATGATACTGAGTAGTCAACACAGAATTTGGGGATAGATACACTGTTCCTTCGCAGAGTGGAGACGTAGACGTACAGTATCTAGAACATACATGTAGAGGCTCTACAGCAGTAATGCAAACAACGGTCTGCGATTTAATCTTGTTCAATTCAACACAGCCAAGTATCCTCATAGAAGCCTGCTGCTGTACTCTACGTGCCGTGCGGCTCTCTGTGATGTGGATAGAGTGGCAGAAGCTACTGCACATCTATGTGGAAATGGAATCCATGACACACTATCTATGTTGAATATGTCTATGCCATGGTGAAAGATAAGCCTGGGTAGGATACTGAACAGGACATTTAACATTATATCAACCTGCATAGTATGTGAGTTAACTTCAGATAGTGCATGTTAATAAATAATTGAGCATACCTCCATGTCTAACCCAGACTACTATATACTACCCTCAGATACTACTGCAAAACCAACCACCCACTCCCCTTGAGGTAATACATTTTGACATTTTGATATTAGACACATAACCTTATTGTAAGACATAAAGGATCAAAAATGCTTATAACAAGTAATAAAGCATTATACCTCTTTAAATAAAGCATTTTCTACTGCTTCTGCTCTTCCATTGGTCACTGTCCTGTAGATAGAAAGTTGAGGACATACCTACATGTCTTTTCCTTCGGAAAGTGTGGGACTCCATGGCCGACCCATTCCAACCCTTAGCAGACTATGAGCCCTTCCTTACTGCATAGGATCTGACCTGCAATGATTTATGCCCCATTTATACAGATTATACTAGGAGATAACGTTGTTAGTGTGAACTGACAGTCCGCCCCAAACTGTTCAAATTAATTTGTCACTTATGTGCTCTTTAAGGCAGGGACATGGGAAAGAAGAGTTTCTGTTTTAGAGCTGATGTATTGCACTGATAACGACTGAAACTACAGTGGGACTGTCATACTTACCTATACTGTATGACCAAAATGTCAAAAATCAAATACAATTGTAATTAGACACTACTAGGGCACCGAAATCAACTGTGACTTAACACAACATCGCTATAGACAGATATATGATGAAAATGTCCTAAACTTGATGAGAATTGCTCTAAAAGGTCAAATAGAAATGGTAGAGTTGGTCTTGTTAGTATACTCACACTAACTGATCCATCAGGGCTGGACATACTAATCAAATCTCCTTCCTCAGAATTACGTTAGTGCGGAGGAACACAAATTGTCACCGAATGGGACTTCAATAAACAAGGCTGCAGATTATTCCTATTACTTTGGGTCGCTCCGGGGGCCTCTCCTCTCCTCTAGCACCCTCCCTGATGGGGTAAATTGCAGTCACCACTTTTTCAGGACAGACTGAGATGAGAAAAAGAAGAAATATCAAACGCTTCAATGGCAGAAATATAATTACATTACAATATCAAAGTAATTGAAAAATCATAATTTAATTGAGGATGGAGTAATGATTTTGCATAGTGGCAAATTAAGTTGTTTCACTCCCTTTTTCTC